TCAGCAATAATGTAGATATTGTCTTTTCTCTGATCATAGAAGTCCATTTGCCCCCCCCCCCTTGCAAAAATGGCCATGCATAGCCTTTAGGAGGCTTTCAGAGAGATTCTGGGGCTGGGGAGGGCTAAAATGAGCGAAAAACAGATCACTTTTGCCCCCACAGCCCCTAGGAGCACTCTACAAGCCTCCTAAAGGCTATGCATGCCCCTTTTTTGACAGAAAACGGGCCCGTTTTCACAAGAAACTGGCCGTTTTTGGAAGGTCTGCAGAATGCAAGACTTTAAAAAGAATTGCCTCTTCAAAATCTTGGTGCGTCTTGTACGGTGCCTGCAATACGGTGCCTGCAATAAAAACTAGAGAAAAATTTCCTAATTATTCTGTGCACCCTTCATCCGTGACTGCACAGAGCAACCATCTCCTGGCAAATTATTTTTCTCCAGGAGTTCTCCTGTATACCTCAGGAGCAGCCTGTTGTGGCCTGCCAGCAGTCAGCGAAGCTGGCAGCAGTGTCGGACAGTGAGGTGGTTGGGGAGAAACATGGGCCAGTCCTGGAGGCTGAAGAAGGCTCGGACGAGGGCTCTGCATCAGAGGCAGAGAGGGGACCAAGACCGTCTAGCAGTGATCAGCTGCCTTTGGAGCTAGACAGCAGTGAGGCAGAGGAACAGCTGGAGCCTGTTCCCAGAGTGCGCATGTGCAGAGCTGTCAGAAGAAAAGACCAGCTAAGGAATCAGGGGCGACTTGGGAGCAAAGTCACAGGTGGATGGTGAATGGCCCTGCCCCTAGGTAATAAAAGGGGAGCGAAAGGGGAGTGGGCTTTTGCAGGAAACAATTCGTTCATTCATTCGTCTCAGGAGTGTGAAGATCTGTCCGTGAATCTCAGAGACTCTGTGCCAAGTCTTTCCTTGTACTGCACTGCATTCGGAAAATATTTACCTGGCAGTTTTCCAAGATAGATAAGATCTGTGGTTATAAATTCACCTTTGAAAGACTGTTTACCAGGCCTTGCTGAATGTGAATAAGAGTAATTCACATTCGTTTAATAAAAAAGGGTTTTTTGTCAGGACCAGGAATTTGCTTCGTGCTTTTTGGGAAAGCCTAGATCAGAACAGTGGCGTACA